TCGGTTTTTCCTTCGATAATAAAAATGTGATAACACAATGCCTGGGTTTGGCCAAATTAGCTGAAATCACACAAGGGTCCTGAGGGTACCCTCAGTTTTAGGGGCAAATACATATACAGGTATGGGTTGCGGGTCCTGAGACATTACCCTCAGTTTTAAAAAAAAGTTATACAAAAAATATCGGACATCCCTACTTCTAATCTCATGTGACTGAACTGACGCGGCTCCAGAAGGAATGACCCGTGACCCAGAGACAGATCCTGAATGATCATTAGGTTTATGGGTACATCGTTTTGGTACACAGTGAATGTTCTTCAAAGTTTCTTTTTACTACATTCAACACACCTCTTGTTTTCCTGTTACATGGTTTCTTCACCAGAGAAACCATTTGGTTTTTGTTTCGGGTACATCGTTTTGGTACACAGTGAATCTACTTCAAAGTTTCTTTTTACTACATTTCCTGTTACATGGTTTCTTCACCAGAGAAACCATTTGGTTTTTGTTTCTTATTTCTCCTCTGACCAGCAGGTGTCCTTTCACACTGAGCTTTTTATTGACTGCAGTCCTTATTAGGTCAAACACTGATGTTGTTTACTCTTTTGACTTTCCTTGTTTACTTCAGTCTCCACCCATCATCACCCACATTGGTCACAGCAGTTACTACTGACAAACTTCACTGTCGCAGTGTACCTGTGAAAACAGCTCCGTTTCTCTCTGGGTCACTTCTCCTTTTCTTTTAATTTGTGGTTTATTTACAGTATTAAAAAACAAAAGATAGACAGTCTGTAGTCAGAGGTGTCAAAGTTCTCTCTTGAACTTTTTTAAATATTAAACAACATCGAAAGTAAAAATCCATTAGAGGGCAAAAAGAATGGCATCCTTTCAGACAGATGACAAACGCTTCATGTAATTCATGGAGTGGAGCAACGTCTCAGTTAACATAAGTGTTCAGTGAGACATCCGTGGGCCCCGAGCCAGTGTTTGTATAACAGTTGATGGACTGATCAAACGGATGAGCCTCTAAAGGATGATGATGATGGAAGTTATTGATTAGAGCAGAGAGCCCTGTGTGCCTCTTCCTGAATGAGACAGCTGCTGTTGATGTGTGATAACACCCCCCCTCCTGCCCCCCCCCCACTCACCCAACCAAGATGGAAAATACAACCCCTCCCCCCCCACCACCACCACCACCACCACCACCTCCTCCCCTCTCAACCCCTGTGTTGTACATGGAAGACCACAGGAAACATGTGGCTCAGGAGCTGAAGAGATTCCACACACACACACACACACACACACACACACTTCCTGTTCTGTGGTCATATCACGCACACACACACACTTTTGATCACTAGTTGATTATTTTGTTTGACAAAAAAATTAAAAGGTTCTTGCTGCTGCTTTTTAACGAATATTTTCCAAACTGAGGACAGTCTTCATGTCTCTGTTGTCTTTGTCCTCACTTCACAGAGGAGAACATCTGAGTCTCGTGAATCGGTTTAAAATCGATACAAATCCGTGACAGTCTGCAATTGGTTAAAAGTTTAAAAATCAAGGTGTAAGGAATAACCTGCGTTTTTTTTTTTTTTTGCCATCTCAAAAATAAGGACGCTCTGTTTTACACCTACTGTTTGGAAACACTTTGATAATTCAGTAAACTGTAGTTTTTGCGTAAAAGGAAATTGAACAAAATATGAAAAGCAAACTTACAAAAAATCCAATCCTTTCCAAATTTCTCTCTATAGCAAAAATACATCCAACTGTGATTTCAACACCTTGAAGATTATTTTTCTTTTTTCTTTTTATGGACTGATGTGTCCATTTTTTTTTTTTTATGGACTGATGTGTCCATTTCTGTCATTGTATTCACAGAGAATGAAACTGAACATTTTGATCATTCCTGCAACTTGAAAACTCAATAATATTTACTGTATAATGGTGATTTGCATCTGTTGGTGTAAATACATGACATGGAAGGGAGAGGCTGCAGCTTTTTTTGTTGTTCCTTGGAGGGAGGCCCAGAATGTTGGACTGTAGTAAGTGAGGACTTTAGGTCTGTCCCCGTCTCAAGTCTTTGTGTCTTTGTAAACCAAGGACTCTGCGTCTGTTTGTCCATTCAGTAAACATAAAGCCTTGTCCCTCTCTTGGACTTGGGCAAGAATTTCTTTCGTTCCTTGTCAATAGATGAGAGAACGGAAGAAGAGGAGGAGCAGAAGAAGAAGACTCAAAAGCTTCTAATAATGTACTACCAGCAGGGGGCGTAACCTGAGATTATCCTCCTCCAGATTTATAAAAGTTTTTTTTCTTTTTCCTGGTAACTGAAAATAATAGAAATCTAATTCCACCTGGTAGATCAGCATTCCTCTCCACTGATTCAACACAGTTTAAAGTATTTCACCTAATCCAAAGCTTACGTTAAAGGAAGACGAGGTCTGTGACAGATGTGGGCGGGTCAATCTCTAAAGGGACATTTCTTATTTTCTTACAGTTTGATTTCACTGCTTTTCTTGAGCAACAATTTTTAGACACAGTGTCCTTACCTTGGAGCATAAAAGGGTGTGTTCCAGCACATACACGTACACTGGAGGTTTTTTTTTTACTCATCTCGACATTCTTTACTACTAAATAATTTCCACAGAAACCGGAGCCAAACCCGAGTCTGGTCCACCGCGTCATTCTATGATGACCATGAGCGATCAGCATGTTTATGGTTGTATTACAATAAAAGTCTACAGTATATGTTGATGATGATGTTTACTACGTATATGGGGTTAAACGCAGTGATCAAATACCTTGTGAGTATAATGTACATGGTGAGTACACAGGGCTGAGATTGTTGCTCAATTACGGTACTATCACTGTCACAGAATCAAAGACTTCAAAGGATCAATCTTACGATGCTGTGGAGACTGACACGATCTCCCTGCCGCATGGCCACGGATGTGGGCGTGGTTACTCTTTCCAAGGACATTTTCTATTTTCCCACAGTCATAGTTTTCTGTTGCTGATGTTGAGCAACATGCTGGACTTTTTAGAGAGTGTCTTTGCCAAGGAACAGGAAGAGGTGTGTCCACACACACACACTATGAGTAACTGTTCTTAGACAACAAACTGACCTCTGTTCATTTAATAACTAGACCGCATCTCTAAGGTTAAACCGGTGAACATAAAAGAACCAAAAAATGTGTCTTGCCTGTGTCCTTACTTTAACCCTGTGGTTTCCAATATGGGGAGTGGGGACCTATAGCAGAAGGCGGGTGCAGAAAAGCAAATTAATTCAAATTTCAATGTTTATTTAATTTGTGCCACAGTTGGGAAAGTTACACTGACAATAGTAGTTTTTTAATCACAAATTGAGGTTAAATAAAGTTACAAATACCAGAGCTAACATTAGCTACAACAGTCCTGGTACAGACAGCAGAGCTAACGTTAGCTACAACAGTCCTGGTACAGACACCAGAGCTAACGTTTTGTTTTTTGATAATTCAATAACGTATTCGTAAACCAAATGATTTCAACTGAAAAAATGTATCAAATATTACTTTGATAAAATTTCAAATATTTTAGATTAATTAATTTTAATGCTTATAATGAAATTCAATAACCAGTGTTAATATCAACTATACCTTGAGTTAACAATTCAAATGTGTGTGTTTACACATCAACACTGTTCATCCCCCTGATGCTAACTGATGCTAACTGATGCTAACTGACCATGTTGAGCTAATTTAAACTGAATGATGTGGACTGTACAGAGGAACTACATTTTACTCAAGTGATATTTTACTTGTGTATGATGCTAACTGGGTGTGTGTGTGTGTAGTTGTGTGTGTATTTGGAGGATGGAAAAAGGGGGAACTTACGGGAAGGAAGGAGGAAGAAGAGGAGGAACCTCGAGTGACGGTAAAAAGAATCAATAGAGGAAACCACAGCAGGACAGTTACAACACACAGACATCTATGTTGTCTGTCCTTGTCAACTCTTAGTCCACATCCTCCACCTCCACCTCCACCTCCCGTCTTTAACACCCCCCTAACCCTACACTACGGGAGACGATGTTCACAACTCACAAGCTGAAATGAATATGTTGTACGTTCAAAAGCATTTCACAGTGAGCCAAAAAACTTCGGTCTTGACCCCCCGACCCCCGCCAGCCTCCCTCAGGCCAGTTGTTCTAAAAGACAAACCTAATCCGACACTTAAGACTCCACCATCCAACTGTTTGTTTAGTTTCACTGCTCATGTGGTCGAAGAGATAAAACTTACCGGTAATACTGGGGTGTGAAAAAATACCGATACACAGAAATATCGCAATATTTTGTTTCACGATACCGTATTAATATTCTCCTTCAGTGTATTGATTTTTTATTACCAATTCCCAGTCAAATATTCCTGGTGTTGGTTCATTTTATTTTTCTTTTCTTTCTTCTCTGATGCCTGACCTGATGTTCAGATGGAACAGCGTTGTGTGTTGTTGTTTTTTAAACTCATATCTTTGTGCCCATACTATTGCAGTGTATCGCAACATATCGTATCGTTGCCCCTGTATCGTGATACGTATCGTAATGCTCAGGAAATATCCCTTTGACTTTGATGTTGTCAGTGAAACACCCTATGTCTGGTGACCCACTCCACCTACTTACTTACTTCAGGTACAGTATACTGAGGTATCACTGTTGAGCAGGAATACTGTATAAGGAACTTTCAGGAGGAAGTTTTCCCTGGAACTCCAGTGGAATTTCCAACAGAAAAAACAGGTTGGAACAGAATATTTGTGTTTGTGGACATGACGAGCATCACGTCTGTCTGCAGTCTCCAGTAGAATCTACTGGAAATGACGTGGAGCATCATGAAGAGAAGGTTCATGGAACAGTGACCAGCGACCGTTGACACGTTCAAAATAATTACAGACAAGATTTAAACTTTAAACCCCACGGAATGATTCATATTCTCAGTTTAAGAATGAAGACGAAGAACTTTTTCAAATACAGGTAAAAGTGAGTGACCACATGAATTCATTTTAATTTCATAAACACACACACACACACTTCTCCATGTGACTACTAGCCACCGACAGTGAATTTTAGCTGACACTATGATGTCACATGACACGGTGACAAACACTGGTGGAATTACAGCTTCCTGGTTAATTTTTCCATCAGAACACCGACCCGCATTCCTTTGAAACCACAAAACACCGTCATCATGACCTGCTAGAGTAGTGTTTCAGAGCAGTGACATGTTGCTGGTCCCGACTGAGTGAGAGAGGATCTGAAGGTTTTAAAGATTTAGTTGAGAGTTAGGATTTGAGTTGGGCTTAGATTAGACTTGGAGTAGGAACTAAGATTGGTAAAAGTGCACATAAAACACAGAAACCAGTACTGTATATTCATGTGAGTTGTTGTTGTTGTTGTCTGTTGTGTGTGTGTGTGTGTGTGTGTGCCAGTCAGATGGTTTTCACAGGACCATGAGTGTCACATGAAGCCTCACAGTCAGATGATGACTGACACCGAGGGCTGTCACTGATGATATCATTGTGTCTGACCGTCTTCTTCAGTGGACACTTTGAACCTAAACTCGTCCACTTCCACCAACTCTGCTCTCTACATCTTTACGATCCTGCTAAAAAGGACCAACACGCGACTTTTCAACATGTCCTTAGCCGTTAGCGTACATCCTTCTCCTAGTGACATCTCAGTTGCAGGTTTCAACCGGCCACAAACGGTGCATGTTTTACAAACACTGTTTGAATATCCTGCAACGTCCGGTTTAGTGGGTTGTTAGCCAATAGCTGCTGCCTGGCCCATAAACAAACGGCAGTGCTTTACAGAACTACCTGACCACACGCCTACGAACAAAAAAAAAAAAAACGTCTGTCTGTTTCCCAAGCTTTGTGAAGCAACCACAGACTTTCGTCAAACCGTGCAGCTGCAGGTGAAACTGTGAAATATTTCCAGTCTCTAGGTGTGATATTGTCTGGCCTCCAACAGGAGGCGGGACTAATTAGAGTAAAAAAGAGTTAATAATATTTAAAATGAGGTGAAAATTATGTTGACTCATTGAAAGTATTCTCTTATATTGAGTTGTCATACCCAAACTACTTCCACAATTCCAACCTCTCCGAAGTCTTGCAGTTGTGTTCTGGTGTAGGTGTCTTAAGAAAGTCAGCATGGGAGAGGATGGCTGGGGGGGGGGAGGGCATCGAATGACTAACGACGAAGAAACAGAAACAGAAAAGACAAAGTATCAAAACCACATTTCTGATGTTGTTTACATTGTTCCGGACTTTGAGGTCCTACATCTGCTCTTCAATAATCTGCTAATAACAACTCCGAACCCCCCCTCCTCCTCCCGTCTATGGGGGGGGGGGGGGGGGGGGGATGTGAAGTAACACCAGTTTTTATCATTTCATAAACAGCAGCCGACCATCTCCTCAAACAGGTCAGAGCAGAACATGGTCCAAATGTTCTGGTCTTAGGGTCAGTTGGACTGACCAAGATCGTGTAAATTACCCTGATTGGGAAGATCGAGGTGTGACAGATGTGTTTGGGTTTATCAACTAACTTTCAGCATCCCAAAGCTGGAGAGAGGTGATTGGACAGGGACAGATAGCAGGAGCAGAGGAGAGGAGAGGAGAGGAGATCAGTAGGAGGACGTCTCTGTCTTCCTGTCTTCTTTCTATCATCAGTGTCTGTAGGAGGACGCCGATCACTGATCCCTCACATCCTTTATTCTGGAGCCAACCTAATCTCTTACGCCACACTCTCCATGTGTCTGCATTAGTCACTAAGAGACAACATCACAGTCTCAGCAGTCAGCGGTCGAAACTGCAGATAAAAACAGAGAAATGAAGCGGCAGGCTGGACAACACTGTTGGACTCTTCATTTATGAGATAAGATGGTGAGCTCAGATATCTTAGTGTTCTTCAGTTCATATCACAGGGATTCACTGATCCATAGCAGAGAGTTCAGTGACTGAAATGAATTGAACAACCTAAACCACTGTAAACACTCTGGTCCATTAATGAATTTGAACAACCTAAACCACTGTAAACACTGACTCTGGTCCATTAATGAATAAATATCAATAAATATTTTTTTTCTGGTCCACATTTACATTTTACCACAAACTCAGAGTACAATAACAGCTATTATATTTAACATTTAAAGACTTTTTGACATCGAACCCTGTCATCTGGTCTATTGTGGACTGGATACACTGTTCTTCTGCACCTAATCTGCTGTAGCTAACATTAGCGCTGGTGTCTGTAGCATGACTGTTGTAGCTAACATTAGCTCTAGTGTCTAAACCAGAACTGGTGTAGCTAACGTTAGCGCTGGTGTCAGTGCCATGACTGTTGTATCTAACATTAGCTCTGGTGTCAGTGCCAGGACTGTTGTAGCTAACATTAGCTCTAGTGTCTAAACCAGAACTGGTGTAGCTAACGTTAGCGCTGGTGTCAGTGCCATGACTGTTGTATCTAATATTAGCTCTGGTGTCAGTGCCAGGGCTGTTGTAGCTAACATTAGCTCTTGTGTCAGTGCCAGGACTGTTGTAGCTAACATTAGCTCTTGTGTCTGGGCCAGGACTGTTGTAGCTAATGAAAAATAAACATCTTTGTAGCAGAATTTGAACAGAAACACTGCTGCTCTCCCCCTTCTCCTGCTTGACCACTTTTTCCCAAACTTTCTACTTCACTGTAATCACTCATTGTTCATCCTTGTCATCTCGGCCTTTGTTGTGATGGCGTTGTCGTATGATCAGTTAAATCTAGACCTTTTCTTCCTGTTTCTTGTGCCTCCATTTTGTGTCCTGCTCTGTTGTCTCTGGTAAAAGAGGAAGTGACACAAACCACTTCCTTCTTCTTTACCGCTTTGACTTTTTGCATGGTCACTGCAAAACATCAAAATATCCAACACACTGTAGCACTGTATGTAGCACTGTTGTGTCTCGTAGTCTGTTCTCCCCACAACACACTCTATCAAACACAACAAATAAAATCCAATGCAAACAAATCCAGGTGCAGTGACGGCGTCACCAAAATAAAGTTTGATTAGTGTGGACTTGGACCAAAGGTCAAAGGACAAAGACTGAGTGTGCTACCATTCCTCATCAGATTTAGCGTTGCTTGCGGTGTGACTATTTTACCCCTGAGCTGTGATAATCCCCTCCACCATCTTAATCTGCAACAAAAGTGAGGGAAATGAGCATGTGATTGCAGGGGCTGATGGGAGATCTATAGTAGTGTGTTTGTGTAGCGTCTTAGCATATGACCACTGCAATTTCTAGGAAAAAACTTTTACCTAGAGGGGGCCACAGGTGTCACCCCGGGGTCAATCGGTTTGTAAGCTGTAAGATGATTGGATGTCATGCTAGTTAGCTTAAATACGTGGAAAACTACTAACGTATAAACAGGTGTGAAAATAGTAATAAGAAAGTACTTGCTGGCTTAACTTTGTCCTGATCGCTGGATACTAAGAAGTAAAGACCCGGAGAGATCACTAAAGGGAGGTCAAAGGTCAAGTAGAGGTCACACAGTGCTCGGCGGCGTTGAGGCGTGGATGCACACGGACCATAGAGATACTAGTCTTCTGTGCACTTTCACATCAACTCAAAGAAAAAAAATCTTTTTTTTTAAAGTGCATCACACACTCAAACTAAAAAAAAAACAGTTTGTTGCAAAAATGTTTTAACGAGAGAGTGAAAAGGAAACAAAAGAAAAGGAAACATCTGACAGAGCGTTGAACTGTTGACTGACTTAGAAGCAAAAAGGTTCTAAACCTCATCAGCCAGCCGACCTTTGGTTGATCACATGACACCTATGATTCTCCTTTAACCAACGAGATCATGCAAACTGATTCTCTTGTGTTGGAGCGCCTTCCAGTGGATGTTAAACAACTTGAGGGCAAGTTGTGTGTTACTGTCACTGAATGTGGACACATAAATCGACCTTAGAAGAAATTTGAGCCTGTATTCGGATGTCGCCTCCCAGTGGCCGAGCGTGATAAACATTTTAGGTGCAGAAATTCGCAGTTCCACAGATAATGACAATAAATTAATGTCATAATGTCTGGCACCTTAATATTATTGATAATGATAATATGTATATTATTTACAACACTAGTACTACTACTAATAGTACAGTTTACTTTCTCGCACATACACACCAAACACGTTTGACATAAAATAAAGACGCGATAAATCTTTTTTTAAATTAGAATATAATATCCTTAAGCCACTTCTTATTTAACAATAGTTATTCAACAAATTATACTATTATAACTACACTATTATAAATATTATTATAAGTAATGATAAACGTGTCTTACCTTCAGAATAACTGCAGGTCAGACTCCATTCATTTGTCCACCTCTGGGTCAAGTCCCTCTCAGATACCAGTTAAACTAACTGGACCGTTCAGTCGGTAAAAGTTTGTCTGTGGGTTTTATTTTTCTTCAGTAGAAATTAAATCCTCCCAGGTGACTGCATCCTTCTCTGGTGGAGCCAAACGAACGATTCTTGTTGATAAAATGACTTTAAATCGCTGACCTCCGACTTTGTTTACGTTCTGTGTAGGTTTAGCTCTACCGGTGCTAATGCTAACGACAGGTGTAGCGGTCTCATTGGCCTCCTGTTCTCAAATTAGTGGTTCCACAATGTTGTTTAGCGGAACGGTTTTACATCTTATATGTACGTAGTTACTTAAATTCACTTTTAGCGCAGTTTACGAATCATTCTTAGTCCAAGTACTGACGCTGTTTTCTATGAGGCTCGGTCATTAGTCAAAGATCTGATTGTGATGAAGATGACGTTTGGGAACCACTCAGGAAACGCAAATCCACTAACCACTTCTTCCACTAGGTGGCTCTAGTATTTATTTGTTAAATTAAACTAAATTTGATTCTATAGTGTACAGCAGAGGTGGCCAATAAGTGGATCGGGATCTACCAGTAGATCGCAGAGGGAGTACTCGGGTACTTCATGCATTTAATCAGTACCCCAACATAGAATATTTATATTAAATATATTCACTTTATTTGAGCAAATAAATATTCAGTGTTTTCAATGTAGGTTGATCAATTTAGTCTCGTCATTTGAACAGAAGCTCCTGTGCCAAACAAAGTGTGGACACCCCGGTTGTACAGGATACTGAAAACATTCAGTGTGTACTAGCAAATATTCCAAAACTACAAATACACGTCAACACAGGAGATTTGAATGAATGGTTGGGTAACACAGATACTTTATTCATCATTTATGTTTGTCATTTCCTCCCTGTTATATAAATGTCTGGAAATCAATAAATAATAAATACATAAATAAATACCAGTGCTGTCCCTGCATACACCGTCCTGTCCTCTGAGTCCACACTCCGTCCCTCTGTCCTGTACCCACCTAAAAGGTGAAGGTGTCTGTGAAGCGTATGATCTTGGGTTTAAATGACTTTTTGACAGAAGGATCTGCGTAGTTGATGGTTTTGTACTTTGGCCTCGGAGATGACGCCTCCAGCTCAGGTTCAGTGCCAGGTACCGATCCCTCAAATGTCCCGGTGCCTCCAGACTCCACCTCACTGTCCACGGGACTCTGTCCTTCCTCTTCTCTCCTCTCCACCTGTTTGACATCCTTAACGTCTGCTGTTGTCACTTCTTCAACATCATGACAAACGTTTTTATTCGAAGGTTTGTGTTTAGAAATGTCATGACTTTCTGCTAGAGTCAGAGTTTCTATTTTGTGCCCAGATTCAGTGACTTTTTGTCGTGGTTGATTCTCTGTTGACTTTGTTTCTGATCCATTAGGATGAGAGACGTCATTAGACATGTGTTTATCAGTCCTGTTACCAAAGGCTAATAAACTTTGTTTCTGTGGTTCCTCCTTCAGCCTCTGGGCCTTTACTTCAGGTTCAGGTTCTGTTGGTTCCATTTCTGTCATACGTCGAAGGACATCGAAGTTATGAGAAGAGATTTTAGTCGTGTCAAACTCTTTGTCAAGTGGAGTTTCATTCACTTTTTCTTCCTCGGACTTAACAGCGTTTTCTTGTTGTTCAGTTTCTGCTGGTTTGGTGCAAGGTGTGTTATGAAAAACCGTTTCAGATGAAAGGCTTGGGTCCAGGGATTTTTCCAGAGTTTTCACTTCCATTTCACCGTTTTCAGACTCTGGTGTGTTCTGTGCTTCTGTTCTGACGTGTTCAGACAGAAGTGAATTATTTTTCTGTTCTGGACTTGGTTGAAGATCAGATCTGTAAACACGAGGGATGACGTATTGGTGAAAACTTTTTGGACCGGTCTGTGGCCTCGGATGACCCTCTGCTGCTTTGGTCACCATGGGTTCAATGTCTGTGTCCGTGTTCGTTTCCTGGACGTTAGGTTCTTCTGAGGAAAGAGGGAACAGCTCGTAGCTTTTTCCTGCTTTTGAGTCACCGTGAGTGTATTGTGCTGGAGCTATGTGTGAACTCTTGTTTTCATGCAGATGTTGTTTAGGTGTGACATCACGGCATGACGACCATGTTGGACAGCACGTAGTAATGGTCACAACATGACACTCCAGGGGGGTCAGTACCTGTGGACTGAGTCTGTGAGGTTCTGGTCCTGACCACTGTGAAACCGAGGTCAGACACAGCAGCGCCGTAGAGCCATGTTTGAAGGACGGTTCGATAAAAGGTCGAGTCTCATCTGCTGCGCTCTGAACTTCTCTGCACTCACATGACTCCTGATCGTCGTCAGTATATTCATGTTCTTCACCCAGGTCCAGAAGACGAGGTGACTCAGAGCCGGTCTCCTCTCTCAGGTCTGACTTCACTTCGTCGTCCTCCTCTGCTCTTCTTTTAAGCTGATTCCCATTTTGGTTTCTGTTCGAGGACTCTGTTGAGGTTTTGCTTTTTATTTTCTGTAGTTGAACGAGTTGATGAAGAGTTTCTTCTCTCACCTGCTGTTGCCCTTTTTCATAACAGGCAACCTTATCTTTACCACCACTCATCATCTCCCTGTCAGATCTCCTGTGTGAATCTTTTAAATCACCTTCATGACGTACCGTGGCCATGCTCTCAAACCTTTCCTTCAGGCAGGATAAGAGACTCCCCTTTCCCAGAAGTCTTGGCTTGACGGTCTGTCTCTCAGATGTCCTCTGTCCTCGTCCTTTCTCCTCAGCCATGACAAATCTGGCCACCATATCCTTCACCCTGGACCCTCTCCTCTGTCCGTGTTCTATCTTGGCACGATCCTTCTTGTGCATTTCTTGGCAGCGACCCACCTCATGTGTCAAACCTTTGCTAAAGGACAGTGTTCCGACCTCCCTTTGGTGGGTTTCAGGAGGTTTAGGGGAAGCCCTTGTGAATTTAGATTGGAGAAGCTGGAATGAAGTGAGGCGTC